AACCTCTCGGTATTCAAGTCGGTATTTATCTCCATGTTTTCCCACTGCATGAGTTGCGGACCACCATGACTGAAAAACTTCGATCTCGGGTACAAGCGGCTGAAATGGAGTTTCATAGATGAATTGTTTACCTTACGCGTTTCGACATGATCCGGAGCACAGATATCCGTGAAAGCCTTAGTGTACATCCGCTGCTTCTTCAGATTGAGAAGTCACTATTGCGATGGACTGAGCGTGTGTTGCTAATGCCTCCAGAAGGGAAGGCTAATCGACTACAACTTATCGAACCCACCATCAGAAGACTCAGGGGACAGCCAAGATTAACATGGGTCAAATGTGTAGGACGAGTCTGCTCTAGACTTCGGTTGTCTTCTACTGAAACTCAAACGGTGGCACAATCCGGAACGTTGATACCACTCTGCGTGCCTCAGTGACTGAAAGGACAAGCGGTCATGGAAGGTGAAGTGAAGAAATATTTTGCGAAGTGCCATGATTGGAACCATCATTGCCAAGGTATTAAACATGGTAACTCTCCACTTCATTGCTATTATCAAAAGCTTTTCGCCTTTCTAACGATGAAATTCTCAATTGTAAGGTTGCTTCTGGTGAAGTTGACTGAATTGCTTAACTTGATTTGTTGTTAAGGAATCCGGGATCAAGTTATAGCAATCTTTTTATTTTTCGCATTTATGCATTTTTAACTTTGCTATCAAAACGTTTTGCAACCATAATTGCTTTTATTATACCATCAACATCTGTACCAAATGTTTCCAATGAGTGATTAGCGAAGATTTATGGCGAATAACTTCTGCATCCCGGTTCGAACTTAACGATGCCCCTGTCGATGTAGAGCAGTTGTAATTTTACCGTTCATATCCCATGTGGTTCAACGTATCAGGAAGTACCTTGAAGGCATGGGGCTTCGTGTCCACAACAAGACTGGTAGGACATTGGGCAATAATTTATTCAAGAAACACATGCTCTCTAAACCCGGAAGAGGTATTAAATGTTGTATGTAATGTCTAGTGCAGAGACTGCGGTAAGGTGTACATTGTTAAGACCTACCGAAAATTATGAACAATCAGGTCATGTTACCTGTATCTATCGTCCGTCCTGGACACGCAGATAATTCTGGTATTGCTCAGCATGCAATGCTGAAGGGCACTGTTACATTTAGACCAGTGTGTCTGTCATAGGCAAGGACCATTTTAAAATAGGTCTGCTGATAAAAAATGTCCTGCTTATGATGACAATGGAATACCGGGTGTTAAATGAATGCATATCTTCCGTGATTATTAATGAAAGCTGGCGTACAGTCACGAATTTGATGCGCTAAATCGGGTGAACGCGATGGGGTTCAGTTGCGTTAAAGTGAACTTTATATTGTATCTGTTGGCTTACGTTCTGGGTTTACAGTCTTTGTGATAAAGTATGCGCCAGTTGGAAAACAGCGGCATCGTTCGTTTATTGAGTATAAGTGTCTTGAAACAGCCATTTTTTCTCCTCCCAGCCTTAATGATGCTATACTCTATGTGGTGAAACGCGTTGGCAATATAGTTTAGCCATCTACTGTTTTCGCTGCCCTGAACCCTGAATCGTTTAACCACCTATCTACGTAAATGTTTTCGTTCTTTCTTGATATGGTTTCTTTTAGTGACGCTGTTCCTTAAGAGTTTTGAGAATTGCCATGAGCTGAAATTTAATTATGCCCAGTACATTTACACCGTGTAAGCTAATGAATGATTGACAAGGCAGATGTCACGGGATCTCACAGAAGTTCAATATGAATCACTGGTGGCAAGTATTTATTAACTTCTTCAGATGGTGTGTTGCGACGTTTACAATAGTGACTCGTTAGTTTCATTTGTGTTACAATATTTCTCTAGTGCGATTTCCTTTTTTACCACCTGTAAATCTGTTTGGGAACGAACTGCAACCGACTGTTTTCAAGTTTTAGGTGTTAGATAAAGTTTCGCTCTAATCGAAAAAAACAGTTTCCTTATTTTGATACTGGTATTATTCTTCAACTGATTGAAAAGTAGTTGTACTCCCGTTGTTTTTACTTGTGGG